CGAGGCTGTCACTCTCCCTGTTCAGCACAATAGGCAGTGCCAGACCAGCCTCTTCGAGGCTTTTCTTTTAATTTTAGGTTTTCACTCTCGGTCCGGATCTGTGCCACGTAAGGCCATTCGTGCTGGGTGCTGGAGCGGGAGCGCGGGAGCGCGGCCCCTGGCTTCCCTCCGCTCCTCCTGGCTCTTCCCGCCTGTCTCCAGACACCGGCCTCGCCGTTTCCTACTGTCTCTCTCATGCTTTGCTCTTTATGTTATTTATATTTAAATTCCCCCCATAAAAGACACCAAGTAATATTTATTAAGACTTCCCTAAAGCCTTTCCTAGAAATATTTGAAGAGCATTTCAGTTGCTGACTTTCAAAGTTTCAGTTTCATTGAACAGTGGCAAACTCACAGTTTTAGTAGAAATGTTTGTGATATACTTACGATTTATCTTAAGCTCTTATCTCTTGATGGCAGTGCTGTCATTCAGCAAATAGTTTATAATAAATGAGAGTATTAAGTCTAAACATTACACTGAGTACAGTGCCTGTGGTCCCAGGACCTTGAGAGGCAGAGTCGGCCCGGCAGTTCAAGGCTCGCCTGGGGAACACGTGCAAGCATGTCTGAAAACAGATGAAGAAACCTCCAGCACGTGCATATTATTCAGATAATACAGTTACCATTTGCATCATTAGGTGGAGCACAAAACAAATGCTTTTTGGGGGCTTTTTCTAATGTACATAATTATTTAATTTGGCAAATTGATGTGCTCCGAAAATGTGACATTGACAGTAAATCATAATTTTAGGTACCAAATGCCTTCGCTTACTGCGGCTCATAAAATTGACCTAGAGAATGCAGTATGTGGTGTAGTGTTCACTGCATGCCAGCCTTCGCGGGTGAAGCGTGGGGCCTGAGAGGGATCAGGCAAATGGCCTCCAGCCTGGAGCTGAGTCGCGGGCTAGCCCTGCCCTGCTTATGGCTTCTTCTCCCCCTCTTTGCCCGTATTAGCAATCTGCTTTTGTACTTTGACACCCAGGATTCCCTAGTGAGTTTTGTCACAGAAAAAAGAGAATCATCAATATCGCAGTTAAACTTGACTTTCAAAGCTAATAGTATCTCATTTGGGGGCTCAAATTTAATAAATTTTCTTTGATTCTGGGTGAGTTTTTAAACATCAAACAATGAATTGGCCAGGGTGCAGTAAAATATTTAGATCTATTGACTATGGTTCAGAAGGGTAGAAGGCAAAACACTAGTGGTTTGATGTTGATAAATTCTTAGTACCTTAATCCACATTAATGTTTTCTTTTATCTGTGTGCATATTGGTGACAAAAAAGCAAGAGAGAAATTATCCATACATAAAATTGGTGACCAAAAAACAAGAGAGAAATTATTATACATATAAAATTTAAAACCTATGCTGCATTTGTTTGTAAAGTATGATTTATTTTGATCTACTACCTATGTAAGTTCAGCAGTATTCTCATCATGACTGAAGACTCTGGACCATGTTCCAGATAAATATACATCTTGGACTGGAACTCCAGTGTGTATACAGTACTTACACTGTTACCAACATTGTAGCATAATATGCTTTGTAGAATACACTTTGACATTAATGCATTGGCAAAGTCTTGAGATCAACGTAGGAAATACAGTGATTCTTATGCCCATAGATTTGCATGAACAATTAAAGTGTCACGTGTTTGTGAGTTTGCTTATTTAGGGAAACACTATAGAGTACGGTAGATTTGTGAGTTGTTTATATTTCTTATGTAATTCATTCATATTGTTAAATATATTTCAATTTTCTTAACTTCAAGAATATTACAGAAAAATGAGTTAAAACAATTTTTGATCAAGTTACATTTGAAGCTGTTCAGATAAAACTAGAAATATAAATACCTTTATTTGGGCAATTAATGTTATTTTTGTAGTTTTATCCATTCTTGATTTTTGCTTCCTAATCTAAAAACAAATCTGTCTTGTGACTCTAAGCTAGTTCTAAATTTGTCAAATATATCATAATAAATCTAAATTTTAAGAACTCAAAGTGTAAGAAAAGTTAGAAAATATTTTATATATGAAAGATTATATAATTATACCGTATGATTAAAAACTAGAGATTACTTAAATTCAAACTAGAATGTGGAATTCTTACGGCGTTTACTAAGTTAGGAAATTCAAACCCAAAATACCTGTTTTTGAGAATTCCCTTGTACTTTAGCTGTAGTTTAAGAGCTTATGTTCTCATTGTCCAGAAGGTGGCAGTGTGATACCAACGGCCTCTGATTTCACGTGGGCTAGAGAAGCGGTGCAGTTTTTCCTTTTCTGTGATATGCTTGCATTGTTACCTTTCTGAATACTGAAATACAGTACAAATATTACTGATATTATCTGTTATCTTATTTGAGAGTTGTGTGACTAAGTTGGTTTATATGTATTTATTTATTAAGACTCAAGTTTAATGCAGTTCTGTGAAGTTAGAAGAGTAAAAAGGGTAAACAAACCTCGTACTTGTGTATTTTTAAAGTATCTTTTTATGTTGAGTGTATTTGATTGCATTCCAGGGTACATATTAGTGAAGTTTCCTTCCAAGACTGGTACTTAATGACTGTTGTATTCAATGTATTCTAGTTAATATCAGTTAAATGTGCTTTAAGAAAGTGATAATGATTAGAAGATTGTTGTTTGCTTTTGATTTTCTTAACCCCTCCCCTTCTTTCCTCTTTCTTTTCAGGCTGGAACTGTGAAAAAAAATTCAAAACCTCTTGATCAGAAGAGCTCCAGTGACTCTTCTTCCCCTTCTTCATTTCAAGCAGGAGGATGCTTTTTCTTCTTAACATTCTCCCCCAGCACTCTGAATTAGAGATTTATTTGCAACGAAAAATCAATTAGTCCTAAATTTATTCATGGATTTCAGGTCCAGCGATCAATGCAAGTCCACTCAGTGGGCTCAAGGGGACCCAGTTCATCCCAGTTAATGTGTCTGAAGGGGAATTACCATTGATGCTGTTTTTTTTCCCTTTAGGTCAGAGATCAGATCTCCCTGTCACGGAGTGCAGCAAGTAGGAATGACTTCGCCCTGCAGCTACCCAGCCTGCACCTGGAGACCTTTGCAATGGAGGGGCTCAAGGGCGGGCCAGAGGTTGTAGCGTGCCAGGTTAGAGTCTAAATAACATTGTTTGCTATTGAGGCATAGAGAAAAATAAATTGCACTAACTGGAGAGAAAGAAAGCCGAGAAGTATTGTGAATAATTTAAAGGCAATGCAAATAAATTTTTCTACATTTTTTTTCTATCATGTAGTAGTATATTTCACACAAAAATGTTTTTGTTTAAAGCCTAAAACTAATCTATTAAAATGTTTCGGGAAAGTGTTTTTACAAAAGAAAAATATGTGTTTTGTGCCAACGTGCAGCAGTAGAAGATCATACTTTCCTATCAGCAGAGGACAATAAGACACTAGGCTGTTATCTCTTCAAGCTAGTCTCTGTTGCTTTTTCTGTTTTTTAAAAAATGACTAGATAAAATTATCAAGAGACATACTTGGCAAATCTTAATGTTAATTTCAAAATATATCTAACATTTCTTAAGTGGTAATTCGATTTCAGTACAGCTAGAACCTAACTGTATTTTGTATTAGAGACTTGGTGCTAGCGTTTAGTTTCAGTGAGCGTTATAGTGTGTGCAGACCGGGTCACTTCATGTATGAAACTCAGACGCCAAATCATAAAAGCTCAAGCAACGTTAAGATAAACTTAATAAAGAAACATTCTTAGAAACATTTATTTTCAAGTGTTACAGACATCCTTCTGTTCTTTCACAATTTGTTTTTGTGTACATTTTTTTTCCTTAAGATTAAAATAATTTAATGGGACAACACAGAATTCAGTATGTGCTTTTTTTCTCTTTTTAATGCCCAACATCTCCATTAGAAAAAACTGTCAATATTATGTAAATTATAGGAAGCCTGATGTTTCAGGAGATGGTCCTTCTTTAGAAGTGCTGTAGATTTTCCAATGTATTTAAGAGAAGTATCTCTTAAAAGTCTTCGTTTTACATGTTAAAATATCTTTTTTCATTCCTCAGTGTATTAATCTGTGCAATTTTAATTTTGGACAAATTTAATGTCGGTTTTTTAAATGTCCATACCCTAACTTGTTACTAATATCCAAATTAAAGCTCTGAAAAGAAAAAAATACTGATTACTTTTTTCATTAGATTGTCCATTAATTTATCTAACATATATCATTATGTGTTAAAATATTTGTACTTATATGGGTTACATTTCTGTGCCATTATTTAGGGTAAGATTATAATGCATGTTTTAACTTGATTTTTACTATTTTTAAGTTCAGTGTAACCTAGAATATAATAGGATTTCAGATTTTTCCAGTGATGGCATGATAGCCCTTTGCTTTCTCTGTCTTGGTTCAGAATCTCACAGTGCTTAGTGTTTGTCATAACTTATGAATAAAACTTTCCCCAAACTAGATTTTCATGCTTTAAAAGGCAGTTGATCCCTAGGAATGCCACTTTTGGGGGACCAAGCACGACATCTGTGGTTGTGATTTTGTGAACGGCAAGAAGGAAACCTAAGAGACCTGTAGATTCAACTGCTGTCCTTTCCAGGTTCTGATAAGCCAGTTGGCACACATTACCACACACCTGTCTGGGAGGGTGAGTTCCCAGTGACATACCGTGCTATACCTTGTCATTTATCAGCGTGCATTGTGGTGAGAAAATTAGAAGCAATAATAATGACAGCTTCCATTTCAGGGCACGTTTGCCATGTTCCAGGCACCACACTTAGCTCTTTGAATATATCATCTTATTGGGTTCTCATGATGGGCTGGTCAAATAGGTGGCACTGTCTTCATTTTATAATTGAAAAACAGCAGCCACCAGTAATCTCTTCAAATCCACATCTAGTAACTGGCAGAGCCCTGGATCCTGAATTTAAATTTAAGAGTAGATGAATGCAAAGCTGAACTAGTATATCTGACACTAAAGAATTTAGACACCTATATTAAATGGTAAGAGTACAACATTGGAAATCTAAAGTGGAATGTTTCATTTTATTATACATGTGTATGTGGTGTAGGTCATAGTTCATGCTATACTATAGGTAAGTCACTATCAGGAAACTTTGTTTCTGAGTCAGGCATGGTGGTGCACTCCTGTAATCCCAGCTTTTGAGAGCCGGAGGCAGGAGGATTGTCATGAGTTCAAGGCCAGCCTCAGCTACATGGTGAAACCCTGTCTCATTTTTAAAAAATATGTTTCCATTTGATAACCTAATTAGTATGAAAACCTACTTTTCATCTTTCACTGTATAAAAATATCCCTGTACTAACCATGGCTACTTATGTAAGAACTCAGCATTTAAAAAATTTAATTGACACAAAATAATTGTACACATTATGGAGCACACTGATATTTTGATACACGTAGATGCTGTGTGATGATGAAATCAAGGCAACTGGAGTGCCTGTCACTTCAGACGTGTCATTCCATGGTTTGGGGACATTCAAAATCTTTTCTCCTAGCTATTTTAAAACATACAATCGGTAGCTATGGCTACTCTACCATAGAAGGCCGCCCACCTCTTCATGACAGCCAGTCGTCTTCTGGTCCCACCCGTTGCCCACCTTCGGTGGCCTTTTCTCTAGGTCAGCTCCTTTAGGTTACATGTGTGCATGTGGACCACAGCCTGTGCTGTTTATTTATTTTTAATTACTTTGCCTGTGCTATTTATATTCAGCCTTCTGTGCTTGCTCTGTTTCACTTAACGCAGTGTCCTCCAGGCTCATCCACATTGCTATAAATGACAAATTATTACTTTTTATTGCTTAGTAATCTCCATTGGGTACATATACCACATTTTTTTTAAAAAAAGTATTTGGTACAGGGTCTCACTATGCAGCTGAGACTCCTAGTGATCCTCTTGTTTTTAGCCTCACCAGTGCTGGGATTACAGGCATGTGCCACCACACCTGGACTTGGTCGCTGGCTCAGCATGCCCAGGGGTGGGGAGTGGGAGCTGGGCCGGTGTGGCTTGAGACCATCTTTAAAAATTATTTAAAATAATTTTTTTTTTGCTGCATTGAGCATTGAAGCCACAGCCTCACATGTGCTAGGCAATTCTCTACCATGAATTGTATCCCCTCTCTCACTACATTTGCTTTATTGGGTTGTTGATGGAAAACTAGGTTGGTTCCATATCTCAGATTTTGTGGGTAGTGCTACAAGACAGTACATGTGGCTTTTTGACACACACACATTTAGAAATTCAGTATTTGTTTAGCTTGGTGTTCTGACTTCATGTTGATAGAATGCATTATTCGGAGTGCACAAGCCTTGACTGTGAGGAGAAGATCGCTAAGCAGGTGAGCCAGCACATGAACCATTTAATATCAGCCGCAGCCTACCGTGCAGAGTCCTGCTGAAGTGCTGGTGTTTCCCATCTTTTTTTAGTGGGGCACACTTTGTTACAGGTATAATCCTTGATGGAGGGGAGACTGGTGTGCGCTAGTGCGGAGCGAAGACCCACAGATGACTCGCTCTCGCTCTCGCTCTCGCTCTGTCTCTCTGTCTCTCTGTCTCTCTGTCTCTCTGTCTCTCTGTCTGTCTGTCTGTCTGTCTGTCTGTCTGTCTGTCTGTCGGTCTGTCTTTCAGCTTGCTCAGCCCACCCTGAAGGCAGGGCTGGTGTGGAGTGTAGTGCCGTGGATTGAACGGTGGTCCCCTGCACCTGCCGAAGCTTGCCTAGGCAGGCACTTTAGACCGCTGAGCTATCTCGCCAGCCCCTACTTCCTTTGTTTTCTCGTAGAGCATGTGACTTACGCTCTTCTACAGAAGACGGTTCAGTTCATCTAGTGTCTGAGATGTTAGCTTTTTGTGCTGGTTTCCTTACTTACATAAAGTGTGGTGGTAACCATTTCTGAGGCTTCCAAGTCATAGTGTACCAGACTTTCACTACAATACTGAGAAAAATGAAGCTAACTGGAACAGAAAATGCAGCGCTGTGTGAGAGCAGAGGTCTCTGCAGTGAGAATATTCTGCCTCTCATTTATATAGATGATACATCTTTTTCATTATCTTATACTCTCAAATGTGTTTTTTTTAATAATTATGGTCTGTCATGCTGATAATAGCTGACAGATATTGACAGGCAACCAGTAAATGTGTCTTCATCTTCATTCAATGATAAAAGCATTGTCCTTAACCGTAGTAGGTGATGTTTGTTGAGTGCTTAGTCTGTGTCAACTACTGTGCTTAAGCACCTTATGTTACAGCCTTACTTAATCCTTGGAATAATTTAACAGATGATCAATGCTCAGCTTTGATTCCATTTTACAAAGGAAGAGACCAAAGTTTATGAAGATCCAGTAAGATGCCGCAGGTTGCAGATCCAATGAATTGAATGATTTTAATCATATTGTTTTGCATTTTGTAAATGACAGCTTACTGGCTTATTTTTTTTAATTTTTAAGGTGGCTGAGAGTAAAAAGAAAAAAGTGGGGTTTTTCTATAGATACAGTTTCATATGTGTAGAAACAATGGAGATAGTAAGAATCCCAAAAGACGGTTAACCAGGCAAGCAACTTAACTTGTCTGTGTTTTGGCCTTCTCATCCTTAAAATAAAATTAGTAGAAGTTCCTAATTAAGTGCATTAGTATGAAGATTAAGCGTGTTGATTCACTGCAAGTACCTATAGTGGTGTCAGACGTGTAGTCAGTACTCAGGGGCTGCTACCTCTCCCCTAAAGCAGAAGCTTTCTTAGGTCAGAATTTGAGCTTTTTATTTTTAAACAATTTATTTGATACAGGGTCTCACTATGCACCTTGGACTCATAGTAATCCTCCTGTCTGAGCCTCCTCAGCACCAGGATTATAGGTATATGCCACCATTCTCTTTTTCTGTGGCTGGCATGGAGCCCGGGGTTCCGGGACGTGGCACACGGTACTGGGGATTGAACTCAGGTCCTTGCACTTGCCAGGCAGGTGCTTAGACTGCTGAGCTATCTCTCCAGCCCCAGAACTTGGTCTTCATCACTTCTGTGTTCTCAGCTCAGAAGGAGCTCCCAGGCACAGAGGAAGCCTGCAGCATGTAAGGGTGAGTGAGTACTTGATTAAAGACATTTGGCAAGAAGGCTCGGGA